ACTGAATCACATCACACATTTTTGGCAAACATGTACAATGTTCCTCATCTTGGGAGATGGAATCTCCATTGCATTGCAACAGCCTACATGGTTTTGTGGACTGCCTGTCTCATTCAGCTGTGTAACCAGGTGAGGTCTTCTATCTGACAAGCCTCATCATTTCACTGTCATTGTAAGAATTGGTGAGCAGCAATGGTATAACATCACCTGTTTCTCTTGTACACTAGTTCTTACCTCTCCCCACAGTTTTTACCCTCCCAGTGTCTGTTAATGGACCACTATTGACTCTGCCAGTGAGGAAGCCAAAATGGAAGAAGACCGTTGAACATGGCCCAACTCGTGTTCTCTTCTCCCATTATTAGGATCCATACTGACTATTGTGACTTTGTCCCTCATCAACCCAAAAGTTTTCTGTCTTTGGGTAGTAGGCTACTGTCCTCCACTACAGTGTAGTTTCCCGTTGGTGAGCCATCAGTTTATAATGCTTCCTCAGGGAATGGTGGCTCCCTTTCCTCCACTGATGAGAGGTGGTCTGACATTTTATTGGGTACAGTCACTCTATCTTCTGTTTGATAAGTAATGGGGTCCCAAAACTGCTGGAGTTCTCTGTCCATCCCTTCTGTCTACGATATTATCCCTACTTGACTGAAGTAGTCATCGATGTTTACCAAACCATGGGTGAATCTGCAGCTGACATATCTGGCCTCCAGTGGGATGAGTAGTCAAACAGCAGCTTCTTGGTTAATGGGTTTTGTGGCTAATAAGGCTTCATAAGTAGTACACTGTTCTTTTTATGACAGACTCTTTCAAGCCTCATCACCCTTCCATAATCAAGATCAGATGTTAATCTTCTGCCATGGTCTCCAACTCAACCCATCCTGAAGCCATTTACACACACAGTTAGCTCCTGGGTGTATCAATATTGCATAGCCAATACTAGATTAACAGCCTGTTTTGCATCCTTAAATGTCATGGTAGGAGCTTCTGTCCGGTCCCATACCTCTCCTTTTCTATTCAAATTATAAAGTGGCTTCAGGTGGGAAGGGTAATGTTTGGAATGAAAACACCTGCTGACGTCACAAATTTCTGTATTTGCTTAATCGTGCAGAGAATAGGGAAAACATGTGTCTTGTCTAGTATTGTGTGTGGCAATACTTTGACCTTACCCTGCCAGATAATGCCTAAATATTTCATCAACAACCCTGGTCCTTGGACCTTGTTTGGATGAATGGCCCATCAATGTGATGGAATACTTGAACAGTTTCTGGTTGAGTCCATTGTGCTAGGTCAGATACCATTATCCCATGGCCTATTGTGGAGCTATGTAAAAACCCTTGGGTAACATGGTGAAAGTCCACTGATGGACTTCCCAGATGAAGGAAAATTATCTTTGTGTTTCAAGTACTATATCAGAGCTGAAGAAATCATTGGCTAAATCTAGCATACATGGTCATAGCCCAGTTGTGCTTTGAAGTCTTTAAACAGTGTAGCAATATTAAGTATAGCCACATACACCTTATTTAATTCCCTGTAACCCACTGTCTTATGCTATGCCTCATCAGACTTTTGAACCGACCATGACAATGAATTATAGGGTCTGTGTTTCAGCATAATGATGTCTGCCTTCCCTAACTTGTGGATTGTTTCCATGACACCCAGGTGCTCCAACCTATCCTCAGACAGTAGTGGTGTATGATCACCACTCATCTTGGAGTCAGTGGTGCCACCGGAAGGTGTTTGGTGTGGCTTCTCAAGATTGGTTTTATGGCTGAGATATGTTTGTTTTCTCTTAACCAAAGTTCTCCACAGTAGTTTGCAAGCACTTTTCCCACAATATGTGTACTTCTATAATCAGGGATTGTGGATTTGTATACCAGATAGACTTTGGGGGACATATACCCCAGTCCCAAAGTGAGCACTATCTCTAACTGTTTGTCTCCTGGAGCAATCAGTTGCTGTTAAATCGTTATATATGGCTTCAGTGTCTACTGTACAGTTGCTTTCTGTGTTACAGGGAATTAATATATAGCCAGCTGTATCGGAGGAGTCGGTTCCAGGGATGTGGAAACTTGGAACAGTTCCCTATTTATTAGTTCTTCAGAACCAGGGTCCCTCTAGTTGGGGTGAGGAAGGCAGTGTAGATGGCTTAGAGGAAGCCTCTTTTCTCACATTTCCAACTAGAGGGTGGGTCTAGATTTTTCTTTTCACCCCTTCACACATACCAGTGTCTATTCCAGAGTTATTTTTTGTTTTGTGTTTTGAGACAGGGTCTCACTATGTAGTGTCTGGCTGTATTGTAGAGTTCTAATAGCAAGTTTTCTATTTTCAGGAGTAGGAGTTGGAGTCTTTTCTTTAGGGATTGACTTCCAAAGTTGCATCATACACATTTGACTGTGTGTCTTTTGAAGGACATATTTTCCTCTGACAGTTTCACGCATGCATATAATTTATTTGTATCATTTTCACCCCCATTACGTTCCTCCGTCTCTTACCCAGTCCTACTGAACCTCTTCCCAACAAGTCTCCTTCCTTGTTTTTCTCTTTTCTTTTATGATCCATTGAATTTAGCCAGATTTGCTCACCTGATGTGTCTTTTGAAGGACGTATTTTCCTCTGACAGTTTCACGCATGCATATAATTTATTTGTATCATTTTCACCCCCATTACGTTCCTCCGTCTCTTACCCAGTCCTACTGAACCTCTTCCCAACAAGTCTCCTTCCTTGTTTTTCTCTTTTCTTTTATGATCCATTGAATTTAGCCAGATTTGCTCACCTGATGTGTCTTTTGAAGGACGTATTTTCCTCTGACAGTTTCACGCATGCATATAATTTATTTGTATCATTTTCACCCCCATTACGTTCCTCCGTCTCTTACCCAGTCCTACTGAACCTCTTCCCAACAAGTCTCCTTCCTTGTTTTTCTCTTTTCTTTTATGATCCATTGAATTTAGCCAGATTTGCTCACCTGAGTGTGGCTGGGCCATGGGCAACTTAACGGTCGCTGCTGGCCTCTCTTTTCTGGGCCATTCTCTTTTACATTTTGAGTAACACACATCCCTGCCTTTTGTCTTATTCTTTCTGTTTTCCCAAATCTTTCACCATTTGAGCTTCTTTTTGTATTTATCATAACATGGGGGGCAGTATGGATACCAGAACTCCATACATGACTGGAGGTATTCTGTGCAAGAAAACGTCTCTCATATCTGTAGAAGTTCATTATCAGCACCAGCAAAAGGCTGAATATACACTGCATATTTCATACCAAATTCCTCCAAATATGACTGTAACTCCTCCATAGATGTCCATCTTTCCTTTGGCATGGGAACTCTCCAGAGTCGGGTCAAGTATGCACAATGGCAGTAGTTAACCATGCTAGCAATGGCCCCACAATTACATCTGTAGTGGTTGACTGTTGATGCTGCTGCAGTGCAGTTATCCCACTAAGAAGAATGTCATACACACTATGTTTTTGCTTGGCCTTGGCTCCCAGATCCACTGACTCTAGAGGAGTGGAGAGGTATACTGGGGTATGCAGGCACTCTGGGAAAGGCAGATTGTTTGGGCCCATACCTTCAGAGGATCTTCACATCAAGTCTTCTGTGTCATTATACTCTGGTGTAGTACCATACCTGTAAATCCTCGCCTGTCAGGCCAGGCTTCTTTGCTGTTGACTTAGGCCAGTCTGGATCTCTTTCTAACTTTAATTCTTCCTGTAATTTTTTCACTCAGAAACCAGCAGCTCTTTCCTTATTGGTGGCTTCTCTGAGAACAAGTGTCCTGCAACAGCAACAGTGGCCATTCAGTCTTCCTTTCGCTTTCCTACAATTGATTTGTTTGTTGACTTCAATATGGTTAGCAAACTCTCTTGTACTTTTGGAATGTCCCTGTACTCACAGGGTATCCCCACAAGTCACAAGGTGGGATCATATTAAAGTGTATAGATGGCTTAGGCCAGCGTGAGATTCCCTTGCAGAACCCATGTTCACACTTAGAATCTGTTCCCCTTTGGAATCTGCCCACCAGGCCTGCTTTATGCAAACCCAAGGACTCAAAAGCCTCAAGAGTAACAAATGTTTCAAAATGCCAAAGAGCTCAGAGGACTCAATGGGAATTTGGACATCTTTTATTACTAAGCAGTCCTTGGTGGCAGCAGGCCAGGAGACAAGGGTGTACACCATGCCTGCATCAATATCTGAACATATGCAGAAAAGAGAGAAATGGATTCTAAGTGCTCAGTATTACAGTAACTAACTTGTAAAGGGTCAGACCTTATCTTCCTTCTCTGTTTTACTGTCTTCAAAGGCCAGTAACACTTCCCACATCAATACTCACTCTCACAGGCTGCAGAGCACCTACAAGAACAAAGTTCCTATGACTGCCTCAGATAACAACAGTGGAGTATTCCACAGAATTAAAGAGCAGAAACCTTAAGACACAAGAAGTTAAGAAATGCAGCTATTTAGAGTTTGACACTTAAAGCATCATAATTAAAGTTGAACCCTAATTTAAATGTCTGGTCTCCACCCTGATGGATGCCCTGCCCTTTCTTTCTCATGATCTGATTGAGTCATGTGGCCTCACCAGCCTTTAAGTCTTACCTCTCATTTTTGCATCACCTTGACTTGTCTCCTGTTAAATGCTGCTGCTCTCCTTTAGCCTATTCACTTGCTTCTGCTTTTTAGGGTTTAGATACAGGTGCCTTTGCAAGTTATCATGAATGATCAAACATCCCTTCCCTCACCCATTCAAATTGTGGGTGGAAACACTGGCTCAGAATTTCTCTCTTCTCTATGTATTATTTTGAGGTGACTCATCCCTTTGGTATGCCCACCATTTTAGGAAAGCTGTTTTATTTTATAGCTGCTGTGTTAGACTGAGATAACTTAAACATGCATTAAGGCTTGGAGGAACGGAGGTGGGTTTGCTCCCAGCTTGAAATAATGGCACACAGCCCAGTTAGAAGACGGAAAGGCTAAGAGTTGTTCTAACTTCTGTTCAGATACCGCTTAGTGGGCACACAGGAGCTGCGGTGCATTGATGGGGAGTGGAGCAGTTCCCATCCCATCTGTGAGCTGATCCAGGAAGCTCCCAAACCAGTTACACTGACTGAGTTTGAGAAAGCCTTTGTAAGTAGGGGTTCCTTTCTGTTTTGTTCTTAGCTGCAACTCCAGGGCCTGGCATCATGCTTGGCATGTGCTTAGTGGATATCTGCTTAATTTGGGATAATGTTGAATGGATTAATCTTGCTCTGACAGAGCCTCATAAAATGTCATTTCACATTTCTAGATAAGGATATTATCATTCATCACCATCACAGATACCTCATAAAACCCTCTCTGTAGGATTTATTGTCTCATTTGGCATATAGAACAAGGTATAGAATTATACTCAGTGCCTGAGATTTGTAAGCACTGACTGCTATGAGATGTCTCTCCAAGTCTAGACTCTACTGAATTCTGAACAGATTTATTTTCCTTCAGACTTCTTTTAGTCCATATTATTATGGGGGAAATATTAATGATTATATTTAAACCAGAAAATATTAATTATTGATCATGTTGAAGACTCAGATCCCTGTGGAAGCTCTCTGGCTTTACAGCTTATTGGTTTTAGAGGACAGTGCTGAATCCCAGCTTTCCATTTGTAACTTAGACCCTTTTCTCTCCTCAGCTGGTCTTTCAGGAGAATAAGGATCTTTGTAGTGCCATAGAGAGCTTCATGAAAAGACTAGAGGAAAGTGGCCTAACCCTGGAAGAACTGAAATATTCCCTGGAGGTGAAGAAAGCTAAGTTGGAAGCAAGCGTTGTTGAAGGATCATAGCTGAGCAGGCCGGTAATAGCAATACATCTATGAATAAATTGTCCTCTTGTTTCTGAAACTGGTTTTAGATTGTTTCTTTTTGAGCTGAAATTCAAGTTATAGTAGGTATGGCTTATGATGCAGTGTGTGTGTATGTGTGTTTGTGTGTGTGTGTGTGCGTGTGTGTGTGTGTACATCTGTATGAATTTTTCTTAGAATGGGGAAAGGCCACGCATAGTAGTTACTGCTTCAGACCAGAGCTGGCCATATGCTAATGGAGAGTGGAGAGTTTAATTTTCTGTTTATATGGAAAGCTTGGATCTGAGCTGAGTATACATCATATTTTAATGAGACATGAATAATAAGGCAAACATTAACATCAAATTTCCCAAAACTTCTGAGACAAAAACTTTGGTGGTTTGAATGAGAAATACTCTCGGATGGCTCATGTATTTGAATACTTTGTCCCTGTTGGTGATTCTGTTTGGGAGAGCATGAAATCTTTAGGAGGTGTAGCTTTGCTGGGGAAGTGAGTCACTCTGAGCAGGCTTTGTGAGGTCATAGCCTTGCCTCGCTTCCAGTTTGCTCTCTTTGCTTTGTGTTTGCTATTGAAAATGTGCGCTCTTAGCTTCCTGTCCCTGCCACCATGCCTCTCACTTGGTGCCATGACTGCTTGCCATGATGGAGTCTTATTCCTCTGGAACCATAAGCCAAAACAAACTCTTCCATATATCACTTTTGGTCATGGTATTTTATCACACAGAAAAGTAACTAATAGAAAAACTAAACTCTTATTCTGGAAAAATAAACTAACAACAATTGCAACTTTAAAATGACCCATTGAGACAGAAGTAGAATTAGGCCCTAAACTCTCCCCTATCTCTGGTTTGGGAAGCCAGGTATCTGGACCTTCTTTGGTAATATTATTACTGCCTTTTGGATGACTCCCAGTCCTGCATCACTATGAGACTGAGATGATGCAGAATGGTGTTCTTCCCCTTATTTGGGGGCCAATGAAATAAGAATTCTAAGACTTTCTATCACTACGTTATACTGAACTAACACAAGGGGCTTCTCCCATCTCTCACCCTGCTACACACAGCACACTGGAAACATGGCTAAAGTATAGCCAAACTATATGACAGTTCAAAACAATAGAAAATCTCTAGGTGATACTTGAATATTTTTATTATTTTTTATTTTATGTATATGAGTGTATTGCCTACATGTATGTAAGTGCACTCGTGTCATGCAGTGTTCACAGAGGTCAGAAGACAGCATCATATCGCCTGAAACTGGAGTTATGGATGGTTGTTAGCTGCCATATGAGTTCTGGGAACCAAACCTGGGTCCTATGCAAAAGCAGCCAGTGCTCTTAACCACTGAGCCATCTCTCCAGCTCCTCTAGCTCATATTTGAAAGGATTATAGAAATGAACTTTTAAGTAGCTGACAGTCTTTTAGCAGACACATGGCTCGTACACATACAAATTCATTTCAGGATGGTTAGAATGAAAAAGACACTTTTCAGAAAACAGTGTGCCCATATGGGGAATGCGTCATTTTTGGGAGGAAGATGGGAGGAAATTGTTAATGAAAAGGTCATAATTATTTAACTCTTTATTTGTACTCTATTTTTTTATTTTTGAGACACAGTCTCATGTGGTCTAGGCTGGCCTTGAACTTCTTATGTAGTTGGGGATGAACTTGAACTCCTGATCATCCTGCCTCTCTTTCATAAGTCTTGGGATTACAGATGTATGGTACCATACCCAGGTCAATATTAGGAACATTTAAAATAATTAATGGTACACTAAATGTTTTGAAGTATTTTATAAAGATAACTATGAAGAAACAGAAAATCTTGAAATATGATTTTAAATAAAAATAGCCTAATAATAAGTACTGCTGATGACATCTATATAAAACTCTTTCTTGTGGGAAAGTATTAGAGAAATAATAGTCCCAGATGAAAGATGCCGCCTTCAACTATTATCCATGTTTATGTTCTTGGAGTACTTTAATGATTGAAAGTGAATAGTTTTAGAAAAAAAATTTGGATTCTTTGAGAATTTTATACAATGTATTTTGATCACATTCATACTCCTCCCCCATCCCTCCCTTATCTTATAACCCTTTCCTAACTTCATGTCCTCCATTATTATTTTCTAAAAAGCCTAAGAAATCTAATTGGTATTCCCCAAATGCTCTTAGTGTGGCTCTATCTCTTGGAGTCTGGTCAATCTACCAGGCATCACACCAGTAAAGAAAACTTACTCTCCCTCTCCCAGAAGCTATTAATTGCCATTAGATCCTCAGTTAGGACTGGGGCTTCTTGCCCACTTCCCCCATCCATGCTGGGGGAGAAATCAAGCTGGTACTGACCTCAAAACTTCATAGTACTGGAAGGTGCTATGAATGTTACTGGCAGAGATAGGTAATCATCAACTTTACCCTGCTGTGAACCCTGCGAGCCTTCTAAATACTAGAATTACAAACATGTGCCACCACATCTGGTAAAAACTTCTTTATTTTTTTTTTAACTTAAAATTACTTTTATTTATTTGTGTGGGGGGGCAGTGCAATGCATGGTGTGTGTGTGTGTGTGATCAGAGGGACAATTTGTGAGAGTTGATTCATCCTGGGATCAAACTCACGTGGTTAGGCTTAGCAACATGCACCTTTACCCACTAAGTCATCTCGCTGGTTCAGAACTTCTTTTCAATAGCAATCTTTTGGCACAAAAATCTGAAACTTTAGGATTAACAGATTAAATGGGCCATGTTAGGGTTTGAGTTTCTTTGTATATTTATGAGATCAAATACTACCAGCATCCTCACTGCATTTGTCTAAGCAACACTCAATGATGGACCAACTCAAGGAGGTCCTTTGGTGGGTGGTGATGATAGTTGTCAACATTTGTTGAACTTTGAGTATGTTTCCAGAAACTCAGCGCGCAGCAGGAACACAATATATGTGTTATAGTCTCCATACTTCTGTACTTCCTTGGTGTGAATGGAGACCGGTGAAGAACAAGAACCTCAGAACCTGAGGTCCCTGAGAGCCTTTGGGCTAGTCTTCCGGGAAGTGCATCATTTTAGTAGCACTGGTCTGAACTCTGCAAGGGTTCTGGGCTGGTTGAATTTCATCTTGTATAACTCTTGTGCTTATGAAAAGAAAAAGAAGTCTGAAATTGAACTCAAATTACCCTTTTAACTTAAGGGAAATGGTTGGCAAAGAAGAAAATAAATAATTGCAACATTTGTTTAAGAATGAGGTCTGGTGGGACTAGGTAAACACTGCTGCTCTGGTTCTGCTATTAATCATTCACTGGGACAGGGGAGAATTTCTACTTTCCCATCTTTATTCAGCCGTCTCTGACCAGCCAACTGCATGGGTGGGATTCAGGGACTTTTTGGTGGAGCAATTATTAGCCAATTTTAGGATATTACGGCAAACTGACATCGTGGGAAGACTGAGGATGGCAGAGATCAGGGCACCGTTGTAGTCTTCTTCCTCTGCAGGTCAGTGGGCTAATGAGCACGTAGGTGGGGTTTTCAGCATGAAACTGGCTCAAGGGAGTGCTTTAGCTGTGTTCTTAAAAAGAAATATTTTTAAGAGTATTGCATTAGCGGGTATGTGACTGAAAAATACTTTTGCCCCTCTGAGCTTCATTTTTAAATTTATAAATGGGGGAAACAACAACCGTTAATAAGATAAACTAAAAGTGATAGTTATTCTTTTTGAATATACCCAATGAATGTATTCTTTTTGGCAGCATTGCAGGTATCTTTTCCAGTTTCTTGAAGCTAACTGTGTAATTTTATGGTTATATAAACATTTTTAGTTTTGTGAACAGCTGTAGTGATGCATCTGGAAAATTTTTACCTTTTACTGTTGTCTGTTTGTTTTTTTCATAGTTAGATTGTATTTTGCCAAACATTGGTATTCTTTAACTCTTCAGTTTCACTGAAATTCAGTAAGCTGTTGCCTCACAACATCCACCTGTCCGTCTCAGATGGTTTACTAATTTTCCAAGCCGAAGCATTATCTCCTGCTCCCTGAGCATGCCATGGCTTCACAAACACCTGGCTCAGGTGTGTCTTCCTCTGTAAACTCACTCCGTTTCTCCACTTGGAATAACTTGCTCTTCCTAGCGAAGGCTTTTACAGAGGCCCACCCTTCGTTGTTCTGTGTTGTAACATTTGTGCTCATTTCTTTTCTTCCCATCTAGGCTGAAATTTCCTTGAAAACGTGGATACCATAGCGTGTACCCTGATGCTTTATGAGAAGTACGAATTATACAGATGCTTATTAAATCCAAGTTTTCCAGCAGAAAAAAAATGTGGAAGAAACAACAGCAGGTCACATACCCCCCAGGAGCTTCAAATGGAATGTTTCATAGGCACAGGAATGTGGTGGCCTGCCCCTTCTCCAGGCTGCGCAGAGTCTCTGATCCAACCTTGTTCCAAGTGAGCCTAGTGGCTGCTCTGCTGGTTGCTGTTCATGGTGAGTACAATTACAGAAGGATGGCCAACAATTAAGATCACTCACAGGTACGGAACTAGAAAACCAGGTAGCTGCACCTCTAGCTGAAATCCAGTTTTCAGCAACTAAGGATTAATTTGGCCAGCTGGAATTTGCTTCATACACAAGTCAGTTTCTAGTATCTCACCTACAACTTCTTCTCTAAGAGTTTTGAAAGCAATCTGTCTCCTAACCAGTACTTGAAAAAAAGCTATATTACTAAATGTGACTGAACACATTTCATGACCTGTAGATCAAGCTGAACTAGAGAAGGGAGATGTACACTTTTATTGGGCCCTTAAAAGACAAATTAGCCCTCTATCACTGTTAAGTTTTGTAAGGATTTTATGCTTTCTCATCCACATTACTCCAATTTTATATATTATATATAATTAAATACATGTGAATTAAAAATGTAACTTATCCATCTCCTTGACATCTAGTTTCCTTTACCCGAGACAATCAACATTATATAATGTTAATTTTTGGTTTTGTTTTGAAATTTTGTCTTGCTATATACCCCAGTTTTTCCTGGAATTCACTATGTAGCTGAGGCTGTCCTTTCTTCCTGCTTCAGCCTCCTCAAGTGCTGGGATTACAAGTATACACCACCATGCCTGACTTGTCTGTATTTGTTTAATGAAATAATATGCTTTTGTTAAGGGAAATTTATGTGGATTTCTGGATTTTCATAGATATATTCTGAGTCAGCAGAGATAGATAATGACAGCCGATGACATTCATGTCTATCTCCCCTTTAGATAAATTACAAAGTAGAAAAGAAGCAAAATGCATGCCTCTGCCATCATTGCCATTATTATTTACCAACAGACATTTACTGGTTACCCACTGGATTCATTGTACAGAGCAGATAGCACATTTATGATTTTTCTTGATTAGAGGAGAAAATTGTTTTACTCTAAATATCATACTACTGAAACATTAAGGTGCTGTGTTTCAAGATGTAATCTTTGATGCTCCTTGTCATTTTGGTATCTAGGCAACTGTGGTCCACCTCCCACTTTTCCTTTTGCCTTTCCAACAACTGAGTTGTACCAGACAGAATTTGAAAGCGGAACTAGTCTGAGATACAGTTGCCGCCCTGGCTATAGTAGGACAAGTTCAAAACTCATGATTGTCTGCAGAAATGAGGGCCAATGGGACCATGATGTCGTCTGTGTCAGTAAGTTCCAACATTCATTCTTCTCACTTGTGCATGTTCAAATTTGGGTTGTCTCAGGGTCTGTAGTTCTTGAATCTTAAGGCACTAAGGAACTATCCTCCAACCAGTCACCTCAATGTCTGATACTTTTAAACAGCAGAGCAAAACAAAGAAGTAAGAAATCAACCAATTGTAATGGAGAAGTTTATTTTACATAAGTAACTCACCACCTAGTTCTTTCAAGAAATATTGGGGTCAGCAGGATGTCTTAGCACATAAAAGTGACCCTAGTTTGATCCCTGGAACCCATGTAAAGGTGGAAGGAGAGAACTGACTCCTGAAAGTTGTCCTCCGACCTCCACATACACACTAATGATAGTAAAACCCCCCATAAATCCCATTCTGATGTAGTAAAATGAGACTTACTTCAAAAAATCCTGGGGTTAAATGGCCAGAAAGTGTAAATCTTATTCACAATATCTTGTGAATGCTTGCTTTAATATGAGAAATCAAGATTTTAAAAACATATGCATATATTTATATATACATAAAAGTAGGACTATCGGAGGGAAAGAATGCGTGGTGAATATGATCAAAATACAATACTGTACGTAGGTGAAAGTGTCACAATGAAACTCACTGTTTTGTACACTAAAACTAAGACAATGCACAAACCAAAATATTTGCTGGGTTTTAAAGAAGCTGCTAACTCACTGTGAGCAGGGAATGCACTCTGTTGTTTTCCCGCAGTAAAGGTATTTAATCTGTGCTTTTTCTTTTTTGTTTCTTTGTAATCAAGGGTATAGTCTCTGCTAAAGCACACCAGAACAAAAGAGATCAAAATTTGTGCACATTTTGCCTACAAAACAAAAATTCAGTGAATCAGACTGAGAAACCAATGGGACTGTAAACACTTGAGATTTTTCTGGAGACAGAGGTAGAAATGGGTCTGTCAGTTTTCTAATGCAGCGTCTGTGAGCAGTGGGAGTCACTCATCATCGTTTTAATTTTTCTGTAGAAAAAACGTGCAAGAATCCAGGAGATTTACCAAATGGGCAGGTGGAAATTAAGACAGATTTGTCTTTTGGATCAAAAATAGAATTCAGCTGTTCAGAAGGGTGAGTGTGAGCTAATTTAGAAATAATTCTAAGTTGATTTTAAAATAGCTAATGTGTTCATATATTTTACAATTTAAAGTGCTATGAAAGATGCTCATTGAGAGTTTTCATGTCCATCCCATCTCTGTCTATTCCATTCCTTCAGATCCTCAAACAAGAATTTACCTTTATCAGTTTCTTGTGTATCTTCCTAGTGTTTCCTTGTACAAATACAAGCTAAGACAACTCTCCCATATTCCCCCCGAAATGCCCCCTCCCAACTTCATGTACTCTTTTATTTTGATAATTCCCTAAGCCTAATTAGTGCTGCCCATTGATGCATGGGTGTGGTGCTGTTCACTGGAACATGGTAAGCTTATCAGTGTAGACACCCTCAAAAAAGAGCAAGATATATATAGTTTTGAATGTCACTTTACTTTTTAAATTTATCAGTATATGTTGGAGATATTTCATGCTTGCATACAGAGAAGTTCCTCATTAATTTTCTTTTAAGGCTTGCATAGAGTTTTGTTGTACAGGTGTGTTATGGCTTAACACCTTTTTTGATTTATCTGTGAATATTTCCAGTTTCTTCCTGTTCTGAACAATGCTCTGGTATTTTGTATAACTGTAATTAGGGATCAGTTTTGTACAGAAGCAAACACGTTTCCTCTTGATAATCAGTATTAACCATCTCAGCCATCAGAATAACCTCTTTTTTTTTATTTTTTTACTTTTGGAGGGAGCTGAATTGGCAGCTCTCAATTTCAAGTTTAATTTGGGATTGCCAGTTAAAGCACTGAATGCCAGATCAAATATGAGTTTCATGTAACAACAAATAGTATTAGTACAAGTATCCTCCTTGTACTGTTTGGATCATACTTATACTACACTATGTTGTTTGCACTAAATTCAAGTTTAACTTCAAAAGTAGGTATCCTCTAGTTGTTAATTCCAGCAACATTAAAAATTTTTATTTTGCTGTTTATGATAGAAACCAAGACTTACAGCCACAGAGAGTGTTGTTTAATTTTACCTTCAGAATTTCCCGAGGTTTTAGGTTTTATAGTGCATTATAGCATGTGGTCAGTTTTTATTAATACTCCATAGGCATCTGAAGTAAAGATATTATCTATATATAGAACTTTATTTTATATATCTATATCCTATTTACTTTCTTGATCATCTCTTTGGAATCTATTACTATGTTACTCTTTGTATGCCCTGGCATAAAGAATGAATTTAAATGAATGCTTTCCAAATTATTTTAAATATTCTAAAATAAGTTAATAAATGGTCATTAATAGTACATTTAAATTATTTTCTGGGGTTGGAGAGATGGCTCATTGGTTAAGAGCACTGACTCCTCTTACTGAGGACCTGGGTTCAGTTCCCAGCACCCACATTGTGGCTAACAACCATTCATAACTCCAGTTCCAGGTACTCTGCTGGCCTCCCTCTTCTGGCCTCTGCCAGCATTGTATGCACTTACATACATGGAGGCAAAACAGTCATTAACATAAAATTAAAATGAATAAATAAAAATAAAACATATCCAATCTATTTCTATTTATTAAAATGGCTGCCACATAAAATTTTATAGCTCTTTCCTGCAAATAAAACCTTTAACATTATGAAGTACCTACATTTGTATAATTTAATAATCTTGGTGCTAATGTCCAATCTATGGTATATTATAATCAATACTTCTGCTTTTATTTTTGATTGCATTTAATTTTGATATAACTTTGACATTCCATTTAATATGCTTGAAAATATTTTTAGATTTGTCTACTGTATAAAGCAGAGTTGAATTTTGCTTCAATTAAAAGCTTTTTCTGGTCCAGTGTGGTGGTGCATGCCTTTAATCTTAGCACTCAAGAGGCAGAGGCAGGTGGATCCAAGATCCAGGCCAGCCTGGACTACATAGTGAGTTCCAGGCCAGCTGGAGCTACAAGGAGACCCTGTCTCAAAAAATCAAAGAAACAGAACAAAACAAAACTACCCAAACTTTAAAAAAGACATTTATTAAATTTGCTCTTTGATAATTTCATACAAATATAATGCATTCTGATTCCATCCTCTTTAACCTTCCATTGCCCCCTATTATACCCCCTCTCCCTCCAAATCGCTTTCCTTTCTTTTTGTTTTGTTTTGTGACCTACTAAGTTTAGCTAGGTGTCTGTGTACCCAAGGTTTGGATCTTCGTCACCTGTCTGAAGCTACTATTCTTCATATGTGAAATTCAATGTGTGAAATTCAGTAACTCTTAGTTGTTTTTGGTGTTGCTATTGTCGGTTTGAGACAGGCTCCTCCTCTTTAACCCAGGAAGCCCTCTGACTCACAATTCTCCACCCTAAGCCCTCCAAATTGCTGGTATTAGAGGTGAGGACAACTATACTTGGTTCTTATTTTCTTTTAAAATTACACTTGTTTGTTTGCTTGTTTATTTAGTATGTATGTGTGTATATATATGCATATATGTAGGCACATGAATGCCATGGTGCACATGTGGAAGTCAGAGGACAATTTGCAGGAGTCAGTTCTTGTCTTCCACAGTGTGGGTCCAAGGATCAAACTCAGGTTGTTAGACTTGGTGGCAAATGCTTTTACTTGCTGAGTCATTTTACAGGCCCTTACTTATTTTCTTGTTTCTGTTTTTTTTTTAAATTTTTATTTATTTATTTATTTATTTGTGTGTGTGTGTGTGTGTGTGTGTGTGTGTGTGTGCGCACATATGTATGCAGGTACCCAAAGAGGACAGAAGAAGGTGTAGGATTCCCTGGAGCTGGAGTTACAGGTGGTTGTAAGTTGAGAGATGTGGGTACTGGGAATCAAACTCTGGTCCTCTAAAGTGCTTTTAATCACTGAGCCGTCTCTCCAGTACCCTGACTTAAGGCTGGGGGCTCTTGCCCACCTCCCCTATTCATAATGAAATTTTCTTGACCAGGTCTGAACACATTTTCATAAGCTCTGTGGATTCATATGTACAACTGCCTTCTTGTGTATGAAAAACCCAGTTTCCTGTATTTGTCTCCTACCTCTGGCTCTTATAGTCTTTCCACCCCCTTCTTCTACAGTGATTCCTGAACCTTGGGAGGAGAGGGTGTGATATAGATGTCCCATTTAGGGCCAAGCACTCTACAATCTCTTATTCTCTGCATATTTGCCAGTTGTGGGTCTCTGTGTTAATCTCCATCTGCTGCAAAAAGAAACTTCTCTGCTGAGAGTTGAGAGATACACATACCTATGAATATAACGAGAAATCATTAAGAGTCGGTTTAATGTTATGTCCAACTAGCTGAATAATAACAGTAGATTTTCCCCTAGGGCCCATGACTTGTCTAGTAACAGGTTCTTGACAGCAGGTCTTAAATCCAGAGTTGGTTACTCCCATAACATTTGCACCAGTGGGCATATCTTGCCAGGCCAGTTGTTCTTGTAGCCTTCAGGGTTCATAGCTGGATAAAGCTGATGATTACTTTTCTCTTTCTGGTAGCATGCACAGCACCTTACAACACTAGGAAAGTTAGCCAGTAGAAACGAAGTTTCCAGGTCAGTACCACCTTGATTTCTCCTTGTTTGTTCTACAACTCATGTTTGTAGTGTCTTCAGTAATAGGGTCTTCCTGGTTGGAACTGGAAGCAATCATTCTGAGTAAGGAAACTCAGATCCAGAAAGACAAATGTTGCATGTTCTCTCTTGTAAATGGATACCAGCTTTGAATCTTTAGATATGTTTTGTTTTTTGTAGCCCTGACTAGCCTGGAACTCACTATGTAGATCAGGCTGGTCTTGGACTCACAGAGATCCATCCACCTCCCTCTGCCTCCAGAGGGCTCAGATTAAAATCATGCACCATCACACCCAATGATATGTGTGTTTCTGTGGGAAAATTCATAGAGGTCAGGAAACTAGTAAGAGACCATGCCCCTGGAGGGTGGCGGTGGTGATATGAGAGGCTTTGTGGGAGGGTGTACAGAGAGTACAGTGATACAAACGGGGAAAGGGAAGTAATGGAGTAGGAAGGGCCAAATGAAGTGGGGAATGGGAGGGCAGGGCAGAGGAAGAAGTATGGGGAGAAATAAGTAACACTAAAGGCCTTTTGAAAAAGTCACATGGAAAACTATTAATCTAGAAGCTTCTTAAAACATACACATATATAGCATTAAAAGAGTTTAAATGTAGTTACTTTATAGCAGGGGGACAATGCCCCTACCAGACCCCACAGGCTGACACATAAAAATCCTGATGCCGGGAATGAATTCTTTCTTTTGGAGTTGTTGACCAGGGATCCCATAGACCCTCAAACAATACTGGCTGTGGCCCTTAGGTTTTTTTTTTTTTTTTTTTTTTTGAGGCAGAGTCTCCCTTTAGTTTCAGCTGGCCTAGAACTTGCTATGTAGACCAGTAGACCAGGCTGGCCTCAATCTCACAGAGATCCACCTACCTCTGCCTCCTGGATGCTAGAACTAGAGGTGTGTGCCATCATGCTCAACATTTTTTTTTTTTTTGAGACATCAGAGTCCCCCTGTAGTCACAGCTGGCCTGGAACACATTATGGGGCCTCTCAAACTGAGTTCCATCTGCCTGCCTCCCAAGTGCTGGGATTAAAGGCATGTGCCACTACACACAGCTTTTACTTGTTTTTTTCAAAAATATTTTTTATTGAATTTTTGTGTACATAAAAAATACACTAGTTCCCAATCAAATTTAGACCACCTCCACCATCCATTCCCCCCCAGAGCCCCCCACTGGACCTCGTGCGTTCTTCTTGTTTTTATATAGAGCATTTGGCCTCATTGTTTGATGCTATGTATTGTACAGCTTTAATATGTTGATCAAAGTATCATTTAAGTAAACTTTACTTAAAATACATTTTTTATTTATTTAATAACCAAATAATTAGAAGAAGCATTTCACTGCAAGAGCATTGGCATATTCAATAACAATTTCCAGAGCTAAGATACATCTCTTTCAAAATTGGATGTAAATTTTCAGGTTTACAGTTGAATTAATACAGTTATGTAATATTGTACTCAGTATAGACTCTATAAGACAAAATTGAATGAGGTTTTAACCTCTTCTGATAGCCATTTAGTTCATTAACTGATTTATTGATTGAATAATTTTTTGGTGTTTAATTTCTGTAGTTCTTTACATAGTCTAGGTATTATTTCCTTTTGGGAATTTGGCAAAGATTTTTCTCATTCTTTAGGTTGTCTCTTTGGTTACTGTTTTTCTTGCTATGCAAAAGCTTCTTAATTTCATGTAATACCGTTCATTTTGAAGATCATTTCTTGTGACCGCTGTTATCTGCAGTGCTGGTATTATAGATGCATTCTGCCACTCCTGGCTTTTATAAGTGCCAAGGATCCGAACTCAGGTTTTCATACTCAAGCAGCGAGCACTCTGCCCACTGAGCCATCTCTCACCTTACAGCTTTTAATGTTTTTCTCTCCTTTGTATTTTTGACATCTTGACTGTAATATGTCATAGACGCTCTTCTTTGACTATGTTTATTTGTGGTTCTAGACTATTTATTTATTTATTATTTATCATTTCATGTGTATGATGTTTTGCCTGCATGTATGTAAGCGCACCCATGTCGTGAAATGCCCATGGAAGTCAAAAGAAGGTGTTGGACATCCTGGAATTGGATGGTTATTAGTTGCCATGTGGGGGCTGGGAACAAAACTTGGGTCCTCTGCAAGAGTAGCCAGTCTCTTAACCATTGAGACATCTCTCTAGCCCCTACTTATGGTTCTAAATGCCTCATGTATTTGAATTTCTATTTCTTTTTCTGTTTGGGGGAAATTTTATGCTATGATTTCATTGAATAGATTCTTTTGGCTTAATCCCCAGTACTATTCGGTGAGGAGGAAATGAACTATTGAGGCGACAGTCCTGGGGAGTTTACTTATCCTGGTTCTTCCCCAAACAGTCTGAGCAGAGGTTGGGTGCAGACACGTGTCCTTCTAGTGAGAGTACATGGGCAAGCAATGGTGTGAGCATCTTTGGGTAGAGGAGCTCAGTATGCTCACTCAAGTTCCATCTACCAGTGATAAACAGCCAAAACAAACATACTTTGCAGTGCTGTTGGGAGTAGATCATATCAAACATCTAACAACTCTGATAGTGTGGTCACCTCATGGAAGAAGCACTCTGGCCTTCATCATGGTTTTTCTTTGATTTACACCTCTATTTACTATTTTATCTATAATCTTTTGTTCTGTTGTGTTTTCATTTTTGATTCAGTTTCCAGTTTTATTCTGTTTTCCTTATGACATATTGCTCTCAAGAAGGAAAGTAAGAAGATTTGGAGCTAGTCTTTTTGGAACACTGTGATGCTTCTGTTGAAATAATGAGAAAGAATACTTAGGAAAACTGCATTGAAAAACATGTTTTATTATATTATTAATCAATTAATTAAGAGTGTATGTATGTGTGAGTATGCCACGACAATTTGGGGGAGTAGCTTCACTCTTTCTACCATGCGGGTTCTGGGGATCAAACTGAAGTTGTTAGGCTTGGCAGGAAATGCCCTTACCTGCTGAGTCATCTCACCAGCCCTCCAAAATTGCATTGAAAAGTAATTTCAAAGTAAAGAAATGATTCATTCTCGGTATATTTTATTTTATTAAAGCATAGTTCTAAAATATTTATTGCTCATTTATTTATTTTTTGGGCCAGGGAGGCACACATGCTATTGTGAACATGTGGAGGCCAGAGGACAACTTTGTTGAGTCAGGTGTCTCCTTCCACCCTTATGTGGATACTGAGGAACAAACTCAGGTTGCTAGCTAGGCTTGTGCAGTGAGCCAGCCTCACCTCTTTTTTATTACTAGAAAACATTCCAGGGGCTTTTAGATTGCTAAAGGTGACATTTACTGTTCTGTCATATCGTACTCCTTGATGATATTACAATATGAAGGCATATTATGATATCATAAAACATAGAAGGAAGGCAAGCTGAAGAAAACCTATGATTTTGTAAGACTGAAAGGATAGGTAGAGGTGGTGAGTAAGCAGTTAATGGTGTATGTAAATAAGTTAAGCATCTGTATATCAGAAGGAGGCTTCTAACTAGTGGTCAGGAAACTTTGGGTTCAGTAATATAGCTGGTATTCTTGATCAAAGAGAAGCAGAACATGCTCAAGAGAGTCTTTTATTGTCCTCCTGGAACTCCAGGCCCGAACTTGTTCAACAGCAGATTAAATTAAGGACAAAGAAATATATAATACATATTACAATGGTGAAGTTTCATTAAATGATATGCTTAATGGAAAGTTATATCTGAGAAAATATTTCTTCACTTTAATATTGAGTAGGCTCTTTATTCAATTTAATTTGTTATGGGAAGAATTCCATTGAAATCTTTGACTTTATCTTATTCAGATATATTTTAATTGGCTCATCCACTAGTCATTGTGAGATCAAAGATGGAGGAGTTGCCTGGAGTGATCCTCTCCCAGAATGTGTAAGTAAGTAAATGTTTTTCTAAATTGGCTATGAATATAAATTATCTTAAGGAATAATTCTGTATATCTTTACTTCTAGTTGCCCTCCTTAATATAAATGTGCAAGAATTTGACATTAGTAATAATGCCCTCCCTGAATAGTTCTTTCCATTTTATTAACTTGTTTCAGTTGCCAAGTGTGAGTCCCCTCCAGGCATCAGCAATGGGAAGCACAGTGGAGGAGAGGAAGAGCTCTACACCTACGGCTCCTCGGTCACCTACAGCTGTGATCCAAGTTTTTCACTCCTTGGCAGTGCCTCCATTTTCTGCACTGTGGTGAATGAAACAGTAGGTGTCTGGAGCCCAAACCCTCCAGCCTGTGAAAGTAAGTCAGAGTGGTAAATTCTGCTTAAAATTGTTAATTTTATTTTTGCTTAAAAGAAAAAGGAAGATGAATTTATTGTAGGAAGTAGAACAATTCAAAGGTGAACTAATGAGTATGTGGCTGCAGTCATTTATTTGACCAACAGATACTTCATGCATTAGAGTGGTAAATAACACCAATATCATTGATTTGGAAAAATTCGTATTTCTCTTTATTCATGCAGAGTCTGTTGCATGCCCAAGATATTCTCCAGGGTAGCTGAAGCTTATGTATAACTAGCAGCTTAGAAAAAAACCTCAGCAATATAGGCTGCTTTGATCTTATGGCATCTCCATATGAGAAATGTGCTTTTACAATCTGTTCAGTAGAAGAAAGAAAAAACAGTTCTACCCTGGCTATTAAGAACTTCGGCTAGAAGTGAACACATTGCCACATTTTGTTTAGAACTAGTAATGTGTAGGTCCTAACTTCCCTCAGAAGACTGGGGAAAGTAGGTTTTTTTATCTATTAAGTAAGAAGACAGGAATATTGATTACTATCTATATTGTCAACCACGATATGCCAGTAGGGCAAATTAAATCTACTAATGTCCAGAAGTTCAACAAGGCAAAGCAAGCAGTAATTGAACTGGAACATGATATTGTTATTTTGCTAACCTAAGGCATTTTTTAATGTGCTTACTGTTTTATACAATATCATTGTTATGATTTACCACAGGACATAATCAAACCAAGGGGATGATAGAGGTATCACACTGTAAATGGTTAAAATGCTTGAGTGAAGATTACAAGATATATAATAAGTTGGAGCTAAGGCTGGAAAAATTATCAGGGGCCTTGTTTCTTTCTTGTTATCTCATTTTGTGTGTGTGTGTGTGTGTGTGTGTGTGTTGTGCACACACATGCCACAATGTGTAGAGGTCAGAGGACAACTTGCTAAAGTTGGTTCTCTCCTTCCATTCTTCCACAATGTGGATCCTGGGGATAGAACTCAGGTTTGACAACAAGTGCCTTTACCTGCTGCCAATGGGCCTTCTTTTAATAGGCCTTTTGTGTCACTCTTAAGAATTCAGGATAAAGGGGCTGGAGAGATGGCTCAGTGGTTAAGAGCACTGGCTGTTCTTGAAGAGGACTTGGGTTCAGTTCCCAGTACCCACATGGTGGCTAACAATGGTCCATAACACCAGTTCCAGGGGCTTGTCATCCTTTTTTGGCAGGCATTGTATACACATGGTGCACTTACATACACGCAGGCAAAACTCTCATGCACATAAAATAAAAAATAAAAAAAGTTAAAAAAATCAAAATCAAGCGAATTAATTTTTTTTATTTTTTGTTTCTTAGAAGAAGCATTTCATTATGCTTTAACATACTCAATAACAATTTCCAGAGCAAAGATACATCTCTTTCAAAACTCCCTATAAAAATTTTAGGTTCACAGTTGAATTAATACAGTTATACAATATTGAACTCAGTATAAACCCTGTAAGGCATAAAATTAGATGAGTTTTTAACCTTTAAAAAAGATCTCCATTTCATTTTAAAATATACTGTTTATTACAGAAATACACATTGTTTTTGCTAATAACACTTAAATGTTGGCACATGCATCTCTAATCTGTATGTATCTGATTATTACTAGTCATAGTCGGTTGCACTCAGATCCTTGACACCTGTGTATGGATATAAAGTCATTGGGTGGACTTCAATGGTAATGTTTATCACCTCTACTAATTAACATGATGTAAATTTTTATGCTTCCTCCTTAAATATAACTCATTTTTTAATTTGTTGATTTTTTTGTGTGTATATCACACAGAACATCCCAAACCATCTTATTCAACTATACACCCACTTCCCAGATGGCACCCTCCTATACACTCCCCACTAGAGCCCTTATACTCTGTCATCCCTGCTACTGTTCACTGTGTGGTCGGCACCCCAGCCATTCTCCAGTACTTGTCCATCCAGTGAATCTAGTCAGCCTGTCTAGAGGTCTTTGTTTTAGGAAGGTCAGCTGTTCCTCATCTAGCAACAATCAGTTGTCAATATTCCTTTAGATAAGATTGGGGTCTGCTGTTCATTTTCCCAGTTCTATGCTGGGTTACCCTCTGAGAGTCCCTTGGACCACACTGGCCAACAACTCAAAAGAAGGTATCTCCTATCTGGCATTGTTGCTTGTTATATAGCCTTTAGCTATACATATGGACTCTTAAGAATTATATTGGCCCCTTTAATTTTGGTAATACTTTCCTTTTGGGTGTTTAAGTTGAGGATCTGTTCCTCAGGGGTCACATGGGCTTGGGAGGAGCCCCTGGCTCCTTTCTTTTACCAGTTCTGCCTATGTGAAGATAAGCCAAAGGTCCTGCTCGACCATGTTTGGCTTCACTTGGAAGCATGAAGGAAATGATTTCTCTGTGTTGACCCTCCTCTTTGTAGACTGGACACTCGTTCAAGTCTGTCTTGTGGGGTCGCCATGGCCTCCTTGATCAAGAGGGCAGGTGACTCACCACAGTTACAGGACATTTTGAGAGATGCTCATAGCTCCCTGGAACTAGTCGACCTAGGAGGGCAAGGGGCAAAAACTGTCCTTTATGTCCCTCTGACCAAAGTATTATAGGCCTCAAAGTATGTTTGTTAAACAGCCCAGAAGGTTAGTTCCACCAGTCTGGTACTTTTAATTACCATGTGCTATTAGATAAAACTTGGGCAAAGACCAATTGTTCTCAGATAAACCTTGCCTAGACATAGATTTCTTAATTTTGTATGTATAATTTGTTAGTAGGTTGTTGGACTAATATGGTTCCCTCTGGTTAAATCAAGCTAAACTTTAAAAAGAAAAATTCAGGATGAAGTTGAAGAAAAGACATTGAAAGGCTTTAGTGAGGAGAGTAACGGTGCAATGTTCCATTCTAGAAAGGCAGCTCTGGCTATGGGTTAGGCAACAATATGAAGTACTTTGTAACTTGACCAGTAGGTACCAGCTATGCTTTGAAAGTGTCATCCAAATTCATGTTAGAACCTATGGCCTAATGTGATAATGTTGAGATGAACATTTTGGAAAGTGATGAGCTAATGAGGGCTTGTTTGTCATGAATGAGGTTAGTGCCCTTTAAGAGAGGTTGAAGGGCAACCTGGTCCTTATCATCCTTCTGCCATAGGAGAACATAGCATTCACCCTGTCCTCCATGTGAGGATGCAGCATGAAGGCACCATTCATGGTGAGAGCAAGTCTTTACCAGACTGTCAGTCTGCTGGCCCCTAGATCTTGCCATTCTAGTTCACATATGCAGGCAAACAAATTTCTATTATTTAAATTACCTAATCTAGACATTTTCATCATCATCAGAAATGGACTGCTGTAACCATTCAGCTAAGAAATAAAGATGGCTTCAGCTGTACCCTTGGCAATGGCCTGTAGGGAAGTTTAGGAGTCAGGGTGATCACATTGTGAGAACTTGGTGACTGACTGTATACAGGGTGAGGGATGGGTGGTTTGTTTATTTTGGGTTATAGATAACTAGTTTTTAATTGGTAATTAGAGGAGTTATTCACAATCATTTCATAGAAAGACCAGTGTGATGAAACTTCATTTCATTCAGGCTTTTAAAAGCTTAAATTATATATGTATAGATATGTGTGTGTATATATATCAGATTTAAATATTTCCCTTTTATGTGACAGGAACTTACATTAAGCATTTATTTATACTAATAATTGCCATAGAAATAATATTCTTATTAATTTTTCAGGTTAGATTGCAAAGTAATGGGTTTCATCACTGCACCTTTACAGCCATGTGTTATTATACTTTGTCCTCATTCATTTCCCTCCTCCTGCCCTCATGCCTTTTCTCCCCTTTTCATTCAGTATGGTTCCATTATCTCCTCAGCTAGTTCCCCTTTCTGATTTCTTATCACATGTATTCCATTACCTATGTACCATCCATATAAAATTTCTCCTTCCCTCTCATGATCTCCTTTAGTTTCATGATCTACATATCTATATATAATAAATATAAACATATAAACATCCACACACATATAATTGAAAATCTAAGGTCCATATACAAAACATGGTAGCATTTGTTTCTGAATGTCGGGCTTATTTTGCTTAACATAATGCATTCCAGTTTTCTTGTGATGTCATGATTTAATTTTTCTCTTATTTCACTTCTATTTATGACTGCATGAAATTCTATTGTGTATATATACAATTATCTATTCATCTACTGATAGATATTTAGGTTGGGCTTCATTTCTTTGGATATTGTGAATAGTGAAGTGAATAAACATAGAAGTGCGGAGATCTCTGGCAAGTTGACTTAAAGCAGCAATTGGGATATTTTGGTAAAGACTCTGGCTGATATCTGCCCACAGCCTAAGAACTTGCCTGAGGCTAAGTTGAAAAGTAATGGACCAATTTCTTAGGTGAAGGAAATTTCAAGACAGCTTAATGTACAAATGGTGGCATCGCTATTAATGGTGTCTATTATACAGATCTACAGTGAAAAAAGCATGTGGGGTAGAAAGAAATGCAGAATGTACAGTTTGGATTGAAAAAGAGCACTAGGAAGACTAATGCTAGAGTCAAGTCAGGTGCTAAAGGAGATTGGAACCATGAAGGAGAGGCCTAGAGATTTGCTCTTAAACAATGGAAAGGGTACCTTCAGGGCAAGACCACAACCAGCTAAGCCTCCAACTTGTGAAAAGAAAATGTTGTAGAGTTTTTCTCCTCCTAGAAAAGCTGCTATATGGAAGAAGCAGGCCAGGGTCCATCCCAGGCTGGCAACTAATCTTGGCAATGTTGTTCACATAGTGCTGGCTTTCGAGGCATGAAAAATGCAAGAGTGAAGGGGTTGGGGTTGTTGTTTCTTCCTCTGAGGTTTCAGAGAGCTGCTGAGGCTACGTAGTTTGCAGAAGGGGCATCCTTGCATAAAGAAGGCCCTGACAGGCCAAGAGGCTCTGACAGGCCATTGTATGAAGCTATGAAGGTAAAGCC